GTAATCAAACAGGAAAATCCCATTGTTGATCTGAGATAATGGCAGGACGTAATGTACGTGCTAAAAAAGGAACAGCAACAAGAACAATAATAATATCAATATATATTGGCCATACGAAAACATCTGTCTCGAGCAAAGTGATATGTATAAACATCTAAAGCAAATGTGCTTTCTAATTGCTGTCAGATTTTGATCAACAGTAGTCTGACAATCTAGATACAAAAAAAAAATCGATTAAACATTTTGGAGGCCTTCCACATCAAACTGCGGCGACTCACCGTAAATAAAACTTGTATTTATTTCTGAGAGCATGGGTCAAAAACACTTGGAACCGTAAAGCCATTTTAGACGCGTGACACTATAATATATCCCATTACCACAGCATATGATTTCTATGTTCAGTTCGAACTTCAGCCCACCCGTTAATAGCATAATTTCTTCACCGGCCATTTTTCGAAAACGTCAAAAGTATTCAGAATATTAAATGCAATTTCGGGAAATACCTTTACAAATTTCCACCTGGCATCAAACGAATTATTTAACACCGGGAAAAATAGACATTCTTTGTTTTATTTAATAAAACATGTTTCTGTGAAGGGTTGCTACCTAAATGTCTTAGGTTTGTTTGGTTTGTTTTAAGGCATATCAACCTCAATGTGTTATTTAATGACGACAAGATTATTTCTACTGGTAATATTTTTTTTCAAGAATGTATTGCTGGTAACTTTTTTTTTTTCAAAAGGTATTGGTGGTAAAATTTTTTTCCAGAAAGTATTAAAACCTATTTTTATAATTTCATTGTGTTTTGACCCCTTTTTTGGTGGGGGTAACTATTTGCCCATAACTAGGACCCTGACATGTGCTACCACCCGAGGTCAAGGTGGACCTGCGGACACCAGCAATTAAGAGGTGGTTACACACTATTCGAAACCTTCTGATCAAAGGATTTGCTGTCTGATGTAGCTTATCGTCATACCCAGGACGGATCTTAGGTTTAATCTCTCTCTCTCTCTCTCTCTCTCTCTATATATATATATATATATATATATATATATATATGTGTGTGTGTGTGTGTGTGTGTGTGAGAAAATATTTTTTCTATATCTTACACGGGAAAAATATAAGAAAAAGAATTTGAAAATACAACTGAAGTCTTGAAGAAAATTTATTTACAGTAACTTCACCTATTTCAAAGTTCGATGATTTTCAAGAGTTAAATTGACATGGAGAAGTTTGGTTATGCAATGATATGTCTCACATCTGACTAGAGTTCAAGAATTATTTTTTTTACAGTAATGTTCACCCTGTTCAAGGCCCGGGGGTCATTCGAGGTAGATGGTTACGTTAAGGGGTAGGCGGGGAAGATAACGGCTGACTTGAACAGGTTAATATCACAGCGATCGCGGAAAAATCCTCTAGAGAGTCTGTTCCATAAGGCAGTGGTTCGCAAGGAAGAAGCTGTTTGAGTGAAACTTACTTCTCATGGATGAAATACAGAGGGACCGTGAATGGTTTGCTATTATGTAAATGGTATGGCGTGACCTAGCCGTGAATATCAGACCTGGTGGGACTAAGAGGTGCAGTTCGCCCGAGCCATTTCTATGGTAGTAGCGATAGAGTAGCGAGAGGCTCGCCACATCCCACCTATATATGAGAGAGAGAGAGAGAGAGAGAGAGAGAGAGAGAGAGAGAGGTTGGAAAATAATTATTCTGCCACAAGGACTCGGGGACGCTTTTGAACTCTATGAAAACCAGAAAGTGAGATCTGGGCGGCTCCTGCCCAAATATGGCAACAGTATTCCACTTTCGGCCTGATCTGTCTAGGCCAATCACCTTTTTGGGGGTCAAGGCTTTTGATAAGTCTAGAGAAAAGGCACCTCTTGCTGAAATGAGTATATAACTGAGATTATGCTGTGAGACGTGGTAAGTTCCGGAGGAGATAGAATTTGTCATCTAACGTTGAGTATGAGGCAAAGATCAAGGCAAAGAGTTTTATTTTGTTTATTATATGACCTCTGGGCACTTTATAATAATGGGCACAGCTGCTTTTCCTCTGTTCATAATTTGGTTGGTGATCTTCCAGAATTCGTATGATCCAATTTGTAGAGGATAGCATGAGAAGCCGGCTACTTACTGGAGTAGTACAGGAAGTCGATCATTTTACCTGCATCTTTAACGATGGATCGTATATAGGAATTCCACTTGAGGTGGGGTGTGAGTTTGAGGCCGAATATCCACCGGAGGCACGAGGCTTTCTAGAGGGGACATCCATTCATCGTGACTGGAGGTGTCAGATCGGCGGTGATGGGATGTAACTAGTTTGGTTTTCGACGCATTGAATGCAACCAGCTAGTTTATTCTCCACTGAGAAGTTAGTGTTAGATCCGAAGAGAGGTCAGCTGCCAATCTCAGATCGTCAAGAGGTGCGCCTGTATATCGTTGTATCATCGGCATAGACGTTTACAAATGATCAGAGTATATCCTTAGGTAGATCATTTATGTAAATCAAAGAGTGGGTTGGTCCGAGAAGTGACACCTTGGGGACCCCTGCGTTGACAGCCAGTGCCTCGGAGGACTGGTCTTTAATAAGTACCTTCAGGGATCTTCCTGTTAGGAAGGATTTTATAATAGAGAAAACCCTTCCATTGATTCCATAGCTGGAGAGATTGTGCCACACCTTTTCGCAAGCCTTCGAGATATCTAATGCTATGGTCTTTGCGGTATGTGGGTTGTCAAGGGTCTCACTAATTCTGTGTGTAATGGTAGTTAGGATGTCAGCAGTGGATCGGGCTGATCGAAACTCATACTGCTCGTCGCACAAGAGGTTGTTGATATCAAACTGCTCAACGACCTTCTTGTTGATTAAGGCCTCAAAAAGCTTACTGAAGAGACTAATAGGTCTATACTGAGAGGGGGTATCGATTATCCGTGTTCTTGAAGACGGGGTATACGTTTGTCATCTTCCACATGCTTGGGAAAGATTTCCCTTCAAGCAGTGGTTAAATAACTGTGCTAAAATCGGGGATAATTCTGGGTTGATATCTTTAAGAACGACGACTAGAAGCCAGTGGCTTTTTGGGGGTCAAGGCTTTTGATAAGTCTAGAAGCCTCAAGTGCTGTGACGGTAATATTACTGAGATTGTGCTTAGTGAGACGTGGGAACTTGGGGAGGGTATGGTCTTTGTCATCTGACGTTGAGTTAGAGACAAAGATGGAGGTGAAAATATTCACTTTATCGGTCGAGGAAGATATCACCTCGGGGCCATTTATAATAGTGTACACAGCTGCTTTGCCTCTGTTCATAGTTTGGTTGATGATCTTCCAGAATACGTAAGATCCAATTTGTTTCATTTCAACCTTGGCAGCTCACGAGTAACTGTAATAACTCTGCATTTTCTGGGAGAAGGAGGATTGGTTACCCATATTCTTGAAGATCGTGCATGCACTTGCCACCTTCTACAGGCTTGGGGAATAGTTCTCCTTCATGTAGCAGTTAAATAACTTTGTTAGGATTGAGGATAATTTTGGTTTGATATTCTTAAGGATAACCACTGGGATTTTGGTCTAGGCCAATGACTTTTTTTTGGTGGGGGGTGGGGGTCAAGGCTTTTGATAAGTCTAGAGAAGAGGCACCTCTTGCTGAAATGAGTATATTACTGAGGTTATACTGTGAGACGTGGAAAGTTCCGGAGGGGATAGAATTTGTCATCTAACGTTGAGTATGAGGCAAAGATCAAGGCAAAGAGTTTTATTTTGTTTATTATATGACCTCTGGGCACTTTATAATAATGGGCACAGGTGCTTTGCCTCTGTTCATAATTTGGTTGGTGATCTTCCAGAATTCGTATGATCCAATTTGTTTCTTTTCAATCTTGGCCTAGACAGACTACACCGCTATTTGCAATATATTTTGAAGCGGCTGTTCCTGTGAGCTCTGACTGCAGAATGAACCTCGGCTGGAGGTGAAGATATTCACTTTATCGGTCGAGGAAGATATCACCACAGGGCCATTTAAAATAGTGGGCACAGCTGCTTTTCCTCTGTTCATAATTTGGTCGGTGATCTTCCAGAATTCGCAAGATCTAATTTGTTTCTTCCCAACATTGGTATGGACAGCTCACGAGTAACTGTAATAACTTTGCTTTTTTTAGAACTCTCTTACAGTGATTGCTAGAATTGAGGATAATTCTGGGTTGATATTCTTAAGGATGACCACTGAAATTTTGTTTGGGCCAGTGGCTTTTTTCGGGTTAAGGCTTTTGATAAGTCTCGAAACTTCTCTTACTGAAATGAGTATATTACTGAGACTGTGCTCAGTGAGACATGGAAAGTTGGGGAGGGGATGGCCTTTGTTATCTAACATTAAATTTGAGGCAAAGATCAAGGCGAAGAGCTTCATTTTGTTGGCCGAGGATTATATGACCTCAAGGCCATTTATAATAGTGGGCACAGCTGTTTTGCATCTTTTCATAATTTGGTTGGTGATCTTCCAGAATTCCTAAGATCCAATTTGTTCCTTTTCAACCTTGGCCTGGACAGCTTGTGCATAGAACTCTCTTCCAGCGATTTTGGGTGGTTCTGAAGAGGGGCCAAACAACACAGCTATTTGCGATATATTTTGAAGTGGCCGTTCGAGTAAGCTCTGACTACAGAATGAACCTGGGCTGACTTGTTTTTTCAGGAATGTTTTGGGTATAAAACATTCCATTCCAGAAAGGAACCATTTAGAGATTAAGTCGGCAGTTTTGGAGGCAACATGTTTGAAAAAGGTTGAGAGAGAAGCTTCCGTCATGTCGTACCACAATCTGTCCACGTCTACCTTCGCATAGCAAAAAGAAAAAGTTCTATGGAACGGTAAATCAGGAGATGTCAGTTTGGAGTCAATCTGGACACTGACTAGGGAATGATCTGGCGTTCCAATGGGGCTAAAACTTTTGATAAGCATTTGTCAGGCAGGATGTTAGAAAAAGTTCGAGGAGGTTCGCTTACTGTGCCGTCGCATGCGAGACTCGAGTGGGTTCTTCAATGATCTGGGTTAGTTCATATGCGATGGAGAAGTCTCTTCAATATCTGGCTTCCTCTTCGGTTTTGTTAGAATGGACTAACCACTCTTTGTGATGAACATTGAAGACACCGTATATGTGAAAGTTGGCCGAATGAAATACGGTGAGGATATTGTCAATCCTCTCAGATATTCGATCGAAGATTACCGACCCTTCATTCAGAGAACGATACAAGGTAAAGATGAAAGTGGTACTATGGATGAGTGCCACACGGAAACACATATACGGCAGATAGGAATCCTCATTTTTTTTGTGTCTCTGCCACATGTCCTTAATGTAGACACCGAGACCGTGACCCTGGCGATTAATCTGATTGGTTGATCATGATTTGCGCCAAAAATTAAGCATCATAAAATTTTGTTGTCAAAAATTGAGTGTCATGGTTCAGCGCGCGTGATTAAAGCGTTAATTAGTTCAAGTGTCATGGATTCTATTATATTCGACCAGAATGGCAATCCCCAAAATTTCAATGCTCAAATAGCCAGGTAAATCTCCTTAATGATAATGATAATAATAATAATAATATTCCATCTCTGCGCCTGCTTGGTCTCACAATGTCCGCTGACCTGAGACGGAACAACTACATTGAATCAATAGCTTCATCTATCGCAAGGATAGTTGATTCTATGTATCGCGCCAAAAAGTCTTTCTCACCTGAGTCCATCCTTCAAATCTATAAATCAACCATTTGCCCTTTCATGGAATACTTCTGCCATATTTGGTCTGGAGCCCCCGATGTTCGTTTCAATGTCCTCGACAAAATCCAAAGGCGGATATGCAATGTGATTGGTCCTGATCTGGCATCTCGTCTAAAGTCACCTTCTCAAAGACGTACCGTAGCTTCCCTCTGTCTTTTCTACAAATACTTTCCGACGAACTACTTTCGATGGTTCCCAAACTGCATGAATTTAAACGTACCACTAGACTGGCATCTCAGTCCCATTCTTTCACTGTCGAAACGGTTAAATGTATCCGTCACTTCTACTCCATTAGCTTCATGTCTCGTACTTCCAGTGTGTGGAACTCTCTTCCTCTTACTTGCTTCTCTGATAGATATAATCTTCAATTATTCAAATGCAATGTCAATCGACATCTTCAGATGCCTCGATTTAATTTCCCGTCCTTCTCTTCATTCTTTCCTCTATCATTCTTCTTTACTCTGGATCACATTCTCTGTATTCCCTTGCGTGCTAGTTGCACTCCCGCCTTGCTCGGGGTAAAATGCTTTTAATACGCTTATAAGGCGTATCTGTCTTGTTGCGTGGACTCGTATTTGATGGCGATGAATCGTCATTCTGTTTCTGAGGGTGAGTTTGGTTTATCCGATGTAATCCTCGTTATATCCTTTACATTCAATAGCATAGATTAGATTTTTGGATTGACAGGAGAAATGATTTTTTACCAAAAATCTTTGCTCTGAATTAAATTTATATATTGTGTCTTCAATGAACTTAATACAAATCCCGTAATTAGGACAACCACACTTTTCGACATTTGGTGCTGGGCTTGTGGCACCGGCGGGTAGTTTTCTTTCAGGGATTTTTGTTGTCTTTCTTTTGATCATTTTAAAGGCTTCGAGTCCTTTGTTTTCATTCTGTGGTCTTGCCTCAATAGTGGGAGGTTCTTGTGGATAACGTTGTATGATTCTGTATTTCTTGTGTTGTGTGTTGAGATATGGAAGAGAATATTGGACATTTTCTTTCGTAATTCTTGAATATCCATTGCTGTTGCAGAATAAAAAAAGAATAGACTGAAAGCAGAAGAAATGGTTGGAACGATCGTCTTATTGATTTGTTTAACGGCATATCAACTCCTTATGGGTCATTTAATGTCAAAATTTAATTTTCTTGCCAGGTAGGAAGTAATAAATATATGATATATGTTATTCTGTTTTCACAATTGAGTGCATGGTAGATGATACTCAGCTTTTATTGCATATACATATTTGTGTGGACATAATTACTACAAGCAGTGATATATGTGTTTTATGTTGTTATTTTCTTGAAATTATATTTTGGAATACAGCTTGATTTCTGTAAAAAATGGTAGGATCTTATATGGACAGATGTCATAAAAGAGTTCTTTCATGTTGGTTGTTTGATTTTGTTTAGCGGCATATCGACATCTCTATGGGTTATTTAAAGCCGAAATCTAAATATTTTGAAGAAAATAAACAACTTTTCTGGTAAGAATTAAATTAAAACTCAAACAATAAATCTGCAGGAGATCAAAAAAAATTTCTTTTTGGAGGGTTCACTATTTACACATTGCTGGGACTCTAACAAGTGCTACCCTCCCAGGTTCACACATTGCTGGGACTCTAACAAGTGCTACCCTCCCAGGTAGGGGGGCGGGGGCTGAGAACAACCACAATTAAGAGGTGGTCCCGCGCTCCTCAAAATATCTAATTTCCAGATCAGTGGCCTTACTGCTGCATGTAGTTTATCGTCATACTCAGGACTGGGATGGAACGAAGGAATCGAACGTGAGAAATAAAGAAAAATAGACATTAAGCAGAAGAAATGGACGGAAAGAAAGAAAGAAAGAAAGAAAGAATCAATCGACTTAAAGCGGAAGAAACGAATGGAACTAAAGATAGTCGGATAGTCAGTATCTCTAAGAGATAAGAATTTACGTTGCGTTTTTTTTTCTAATGATATATTTTATCTTGCATTTTTGTTTTTTTTTAAATCTACATACCGTAACACCTACGTATGTATATTCTCCCCCTAACAAGTTCAGTGATTTCAAACATTCAACTATCTCAGTCTGTTCATAACTTTCTATCTCAGTCTGTTCATTATCTATCTATCTATCTATCTATCTATCTCTCTCTCTCTCTCTCTCTCTCTCTCTCTCTCTCTATCTATATATATATATATATATATATATATATATATATCAGGTCATCCCATAAGTTCTGTCCGAATTTTAAATTTTTGTTAAAATGAACGAAATTTAAAGAGTATTTTATAATGTCTAACAGAGCTGAACATTATTTTTATGTTTAGATGCATTTAAACTGACCAAATTTTATTTCAGAGAACAATAAAATAAAATTTTGTTTGATTAAAACCCTGCTAACATGGAAGTACCCAAGAATCATTTGAGGCACATAATGCTTTATGAGTTCAAGAAAGGAAACTCAGCAGCCGAAGCGGCTAGAAACATTCACTCAGTTTATGGAGAGGAATGTGTGAATGAAAGAACTTGCAGAAGATGGTTTGCAAAATTTCAGAGGTGGAGATTTCACCCTTGAAGATGAAGATCGAACCGACGTCCAGTTGAGTTTGATGAAAAGCTTCTTGAAGCAGCCCTTGAAGAAAATCCTGCTTTATCAGTTGAGGAATTGGCAGTGGTTCTCAGTTCAAACCATACAACTGTTCATCATCATATTTAACAACTTGGAAAAGTTCCTAAACTTAGAAAATGGGTGCCTCATGAATTGTCTGAAAACAACCACAAATCCCGAGTTGACATCTGCTCTTCTCTCCATTCTCATCAGCTTGTTTCACCTTTTTTTTGGATAGACTTGTGACTGGCGACGAAAAAAGGATCTTTTATCGAAATGTTAAACGTCGTAGACAGTGGCTTGGTAAAGGGGAAGGACCCCAGCCACAGCCGAGAAGGGAACTTCATGGACAAAAGGTTCTTCTTTCAATCTGGTGGGATCGCCAAGGAATAATAGATGGAAAGAAGTCATAGATAATCAGAGAAAATACATTGTTGATTGAATCTGCAATTAAATGTAACATTTGGTCACTTGTTTTCTTTATTCAAAATCCGGACAGAACTTATGGGATGACCTGATATATATATATATATATATATATATATATATATATATATATATATATATATATATATATATATATCTCTATATATTGGTTTATATATTTATCTATCTATATATCTATCTATTATCTTCCTAGTTCGTTTATATCTATCTATCTATCTATCTATCTATTCCTATATCTCTATTAATTCTTTATATCTATCTATCTTTTCTATCCTAGTTCGTTTATATCTATCTATCTATCTATCTATCTATCTATCTGTTCCTATCTATCTAATCGGTTTATCTATCTATCTATCTATCTATCTATCTATATTATCTATCTATATATATATATATATATTTATATATATATATTTGTTTATATCTATTAATTGTTTTCTATCTATATATCAATATCAATGTTTCTATATATATCTAGTTCGTTTATATCTATCTATCTATCTATCTATCTATCTATCTATCTATCTGTTCCTATATATCTCTACTAATTCGTTTATATCTATCTATCTATCTATCTATCTATCTATCTAGTATCTCTTTATATCTATCTATCTATATCTATATCTGTTCCTCTATATATCTATATATAATTATATATATATATATCTATCCTAGTTCGTTTATATCTATCTTCTATCTATCTATCTATCTATCTATATCTATCTGTTCCTATATATCTCTACTAATTCATATCTATCTATCTATCTATCTATCTATCTATCTATCTATCTATTCATATATATATATATTTATATATATATATTTGTTCTATCTTTATTAATTCGTTTATATCTATCTATATATCTCCATCAATCTATCTATCTATATATCTATCCTAGTTCGTTTATATATATTATTCATCTATTATATCTATTATCTATCTGTTTATATATCTCTACTAATTCATATCTATCTATCTATCTATCTATCTATCTATCTATCTATATATATATATTTGTTCCTATATATCTCTATTAGTTCGTTTATATCTATCTATCTGTTCCTATATATGTCTATTAATTCGTTTATATCTATCAATCTATCTATCTATATATCTATCCTAGTTCGTTTATATCTATCTATCTATCTATCTATCTATCTATCTATCTCAGTTTTTCCTGTTTATCTATCTATGTGA